TTAAAACAAGAGGAAACGCTATATATAAGTAATACAAGGTCAAACGAAGGCATTCATAATAATATTATAGACGCCACAGTTTTCCCCGGTTTGTGGGCGTTAGAGTGGGCGTGGCCGGATGGAACTTCGTGACGCAATTCGCATTGGGAGCATCATAAAAACCTACATGCTTAATCCGAACTTTCTATCTCTTATAGTTACCGAGATATCAGCTTTTCTAGAAAATCCGAAATCCGTTTTTTGAGCATTGTGGGCGTATGGGTGGGTGTGGCCGGATAGTAGAACCACTATAAGATGTGCTGGCATTTAAAGATTATACTTTCTGAATTTCAACTTTCTAGCTCCAATAGTTCCTGAGATTTACTTAGACCTTTTCAGCCAGCGAATCATGATTACACTCTTATTGGTAAAAAGTATTGCTTTAATGGATTATTTCATCCAACTTCATTTTAATAGCCATTTCAACTTTCAACTGTGTAACAAATGCGAGCTTAGAATTCGGAAAGGATAACTTTTTAAGCCCCTCCTTTAAAGTGCTTTGTAGATGGCTGGGCAGTTTGGCGGCTCCTTGTGCAATGCCCGGATAGCTCAGTCGGTAGAGCATTGGACTTTTAATCCAAGGGTCCAGGGTTCAAGTCCCTGTTCGGGCGATCTACTTTTTATATTTTTTTTGTAAACCCAAAATATTTTCTTTTTTCTTTTTTTTTAATTAAGTTTTCTGCAATTATTGGGAAATATAAAAATAAAACGGCCACTAATGTCACCCTGCACCGTGCAGTTGGCAACGCGGCTGCCGATCAAGCAGTTTTCATGAGCTGCTTGATGTCGATGGAGTGGTGCGCCGATAAAGCAGTTCGCTTGAAATCGAGTCACAACCGGTGACGTGTGGTCGAGTTTTGGACGCAGGCACTCCGACTGGAAGGTTGGCAGCTTCTGTAATCACGCTTCTGTGAGGTCCGATTGTGGGATGGCCTGAGGCTGGGATCTACTGTGTAACGGACTAGCTCATGTTGACGGAACGTCCGCACTAAGCTTGCCATCAATATGGGTGCCATGGAGGAGTCCGCGGCATTCAGGTTGGCTAAGGAGGGATGAACCGGGCCAGGGGTGAAAACCAGCAGCCAAGAGTTCCCGTGGTAGGCAGTAGTGGGATAGCGTACCGGAGTGAACTGCCGTTATCAGCCCAACCAATATGGTTGGACCACAATCTTTTTGCGACCGCTTAAAAAACTATTTTTTCAAAATGTCTAAAAATTATTTTCTACACGTATTACAACAATTGCGAAGTACTTTTTCGGTGAGACACTTAGTAAAAGTAGTAAAAATTCTTAGATCGCAATCTTCGAGCCACCATCAGAAAACTAAAAACTACATATTAATAATTTTTTAGCTATGATAACTATTTTATTTCTCCACTTCTATTCCCAGTACCTTAATATCTAGATAGAGTACATATAATACTTATATAGATAGAATTTCATTATATTTTATCTCCAAATGCTTATAAAATTAAATAAAAATCAAGAAGAAACGCTATAGTTGAGTGCCGCGACTGTAAGATATCCGTTACTGTTTTACACAATTTTAAAATATTCATTTTGCTAGTGGACCTATTGTCAGAGTACATACATACATACATATCTTCCTAAATAGCGAAATAATGTTCCGACTTAAAAACTCATTGGTAAAACGATAGATATATATGATATATGTTATGCAAGGTCAAACGAATACATACTCTAAAATATTACGGATTCCACAGTTTTCCGCGGTTTGTGGGCGTTAGAATGGGCGTGGCCGGATGAAAACTGACGTGCAGTGTAAATACGTATTTCTAAGCCTAACTTTGTAGCTCTCATAAAACCTACATGCTTAATCGGAACTTTCTATAACCTATAGTTACCGAGAATCAGCTTATCTACAAAATGCGAAAACCGTCTTTCGATCTTTGTGGGCGTAAGAGTTTGTGTGGCTGGTACCACCATAAGATCCGCTGACATCTCATGAGTTAATTCCAACTTTCTAGCTCTTATATTTCCTGAGATTTCAGCGATTTTAGTTTTCCGTAATTTGTGGGCGTTAGATTCTGCGGATCTCGAGAATCTGTCTACTTATGCTCTGTATCTCTAATAGTTCCTGAGAACTAATCGTTCATACGGATGGACTTACAGACGTACATGGCTCAATCGACTTCGCTATTGATACTGATCAAGAATACACTTTATGGGGTCGGAAACACTTCCTTTTACATGTTACATACATTTCATTTACTCGAGTAACGGGTATAATAACAATACCGTAGACCAAAATAAATTTTGCTTTAATTATTATTATTTAACGGTTTTTTATTAGTTTCTGGCTAAAAAATTTCCAAATTTTTTCTATTTTCTGTTCTCTAAAAGTTAATTTAAAAAATTTAATTAACCTGTTAAACAATTTTGGGTTGGGTCAACGATGTTCATTCTGCTCTATTTTTTTTTGGAACTAAATTAATTTTAATTGAGATACTTGATATCCTATCCTGACATTTATAAATATGATATCTGTAGCAATTCTTAATAATTTTCGGCAAAACACTAAAAGATCACAAACGAAAAAAATAATTATTACCGCCCGAACAGGGACTTGAACCCTGGACCCTTGGATTAAAAGTCCAATGCTCTACCGACTGAGCTATCCGGGCCTTCATGCAGCATCTGTCTTTGAACATTTCGTAAGGAACGTACAGAGCTCCGTTCCTTATCCAAGATCACCACCCAAGGAAAGCAAGAGGGTACAATTTAAAATAGTTTTTATTTTTTATGCCATATTCATACATGTTTACATACTTTTTGTTTTTCTTTATATTTTTATGGTTTTTGTGTTTTCATAGTTGAAGTTTTATCTGTTTTTATTTTCGATTCCATTTTTTGTATAATAATTGCCTTTGCAATCGAACCCAGATTAAGGTAATACATACATGCGAATTTCATTAAAAATTAGTTGCGTAATTTAATTTTTACATGGAATGCAGTTAAACTTCTTGCGCCCACCGTGTCCTGGCGGACAGTGAGTGCCCCCTTAACCCAAAACTTCGAATGGTTTTTCATTTCAATCGATTGGGAAAATCATTTGATTGCGGTTCCGACAAGTTGCATTAAACAAACGATCGAAAATGTACAAACTAAGATTGAACAAATGTACAAAATGGGAAACAAAAAACGATTAATTAATTTGTGCTAGGTATTTTTTGTTTGATTCTCTCATTTTCCATAGTTTTGTTCGATTTGCCTTGCCTTGCTCATTCTGATTTGTTTTCTCTAAAATTTGTCTTGCTAATTCGATATACATAATTTAGGCTTACGGGCTAGGTTCACGTAGACTACCGATAGTTCTAGAATGCACTAACCTTAGCTTAGCGAAAAGTACAGCATAAATAATTACTTTACATTACGGTTATGGGTTTCCTTTAGCATTAGGCTTTAACAATTCTCGCTTTAATCAAATTTCGTTGGCTTAATGTATCGATTAACTACCGAATTACAAATTTCATTTACAGACATTGTTGAGAGGCCTTGAATAAATAACGTGGAAGGATCGGCTGCTGTTCTAAAGAAAATCCTGATTAACTATAGCAAGTTCTATGCTAAATTTAAAATATTTTACTTCCTGTTTATATTCCGAATTTGTTCTTCAGTGGCATTTAAAAACGATTGATTTTTGATAAAATTAGTAAAGCATTTTCCTCTTCAAAGCTGCTAGAGCACTTTCAACAACACAAACGCAAACATACAAAATAATTTGAATAAAACAGTTTTAGGTTTTTCCGAAATTTTCTCTCCAAGACGAAACACAAACATAAAAAAGGCGATTCCCGAGCTGGGCCGCTCTGCTATTTACAAACTAAACAAAGCCTTATGTGGTTAACTAGAGTTAGGTTCTCTACTAGCTAGGAATTAAGTACACTCTTTAGGACTCCCTGGAGGGTGCTGGGTGGGGTGTTGTGGACGTGGGGGGATCGAGGTTGGGGTACGATACAAACGAAGAACTAATGTTAATTAGAAATCACTTTGAAATTATTGCAGATATTAGTTTTGTTCAACTCGACAGCTCTGTCTGTTCATCTGTGCAGCTTACGGGCTAGAATTATGCTAGGCTTACGAACTAACAGCTTTTCGAATACTGCTTAGAGAAAGAGATTCATCATACTGGAAGGACCCACGGGCACTCGCACGGATAGAAGGTGGTCCATCATATCCTTATGATCCAACGGCAAATCAACATCAGATATTAATGTGAAATCGTTTCACATTGATGTGAAAAATATGATCTTGATATGTTGAATACATTTAGAGAGTAACTCAAGGATGGCATCATGCAACATTTGAAAACGTCGCCATAGATGAGGGACTGCGATTGCCCGGGGTGCCACCTCCAGTATCATAAACCCAAACGAGCCACGCGGATGTGCGGCTCGTTTCTTAGCTTAACACGAATCAGTTGCAAACAAGAAACATCACTGGATGTTGGTTGATCGACGGGCGGCGACAGGCGGTAGGCGATGGGCGGTATGCGGCAGGCATCTGGGGGCATGGCAGGCTTTGGCAGGCGGACAGAACTCAGCAGCAGAACAAATTGCAGCCGACAATGTCCGCCTTGAACTCCAGCTGCAACTCCGGGTCGGGCTCACAGTCCGACTCTAAGAGCTGCTCCAGGCCCCGATCCTGATTCCGATCGACGGGATCATCCTGCTGGTGGTGCTGCTGTTGCTGCCTGATGATAACCTGAGATCAGAACTCCTGCGGATACTTGATGCAGTCGGGCGCCTGGGAACTGGAGGCGGTGGAGGCGAAGAGGGAGTTGGGACCGTTGCCGTTGCTGCCGCCATTGGACAGCGAACCCGGCCCTCCTGCACCACCACCCACCCCCACGGAGCCACCACCACCCACTGAGCCACCGTCCTGCGACTGATAGCCACTGGCCGCCGAGGCCGCCGCCGCCGTCTGATATGGTTCCTGATACAACTGATTGAGTCTCTAACCAGTACCCGAAAAGTGCCACGCGTCCTATGCGCTCAGGTGCGCGAACTGTGACGGATGGATATCGAACTGGTGGTAGGGATGGCCATAGGGACCCATGTGGTAGGGCACGATGTTCATCGAGGCCATCTTGTGCTCCTTCTTCCACTTCATGCGCCGGTTCTGGAACCAGATCTTAATCTGCCGCTCCGTGAGGCACAAGGCGTGGGCGATCTCGATCCTGCGGCGGCGGGTCAGGTAGCGGTTGAAGTGGAACTCCTTCTCCAGCTCCAGCGTCTGGTAGCGGGTGTATGAGGTCCGTTGTCGTTTCGTCTCGCCATTGGCATTCACAGTACCTGGAGGGAAAAGTGACAAAAACTTGCATTAGTTGTGTTGGAAAATGGGAATGTTAAAGTTAAATATAAATGAAATGTTAAAACGATAAAGTTCTAAAAACATAAAATTACGAATAAGATTAAAGGTAAATTCTAATAATTACAAATTCTCAGTGAGTAGCGGGATGATAAATCGGTTCAACTAAGAAAGATAAAGACCTTTGAATATCTACTTAAACCCAAAATGCTCTTTCCATACTTCAGCCAAAATATGATTTATTTCTACCGAAAACTATTTGAGGGCGTTCCTAGGCAATCGTCAAACGTTCAAGTGGACAACACCACCGGATCCCCAATCCTTCCCAGCTTTCCCACCGCTTCGAGGCAGTTAATTTTCTCATTTATATTGTGATTTTCTGCAACGTTGCGCATTTCATAAATATGACGTGTCAAACTGCCATTTCGTGGCACCCGAAAAGTTCATACTGTGCATTGTGTTCTGGCAAGTTAAAGGGAAGGGAAAGGGCTGCGAGAGTTTGGCGAACGTATCTTGCCCCAGACAGATGTTTGTCGCTACCCGAAAACTTGTATCCTTGTATCGGCAATCGTCGGCAGATAATGACAATTTCCCGTTCTTGGCAAGTCGCCCCCGAAAACTATTCTGTCATCTGTATCGGGTTTTTTCGGCGTTTTCATTTTTTTCATTTGAGGCAAGCCATTGGCATGAGGGCGTTCGAAGCGCGTCGTTCATAATGAGGGGGCGTGCTATGCCAAAGTAGACTTTTAAAAGCCATTTACCGTGGCGTGTTATTACGGCCAACTCAATTGGCCCGCCCGCTTTGTTTGGGCTTTGCCAATACGCGGCAAAGAGTTGAGGGGGAGGTTGAGGTTGAGGTTGAGGCAGTTCTGCCATAGACACTGTATCTCTATCGCTAGTATTTATATCTGCGAAATGTGTGGCAGTCAGTCAATGTGATAGACGGCAACCGCTGACTTGCCAGTGCGTCCCTCTCTGTGTGTTTTCTTTTTGGGGCGGATTGTTCACTCGATTGACTCCAAGTTTCACCCGCCCTATATGGGTCATGGCCCATTTGCTAAATGGGAAATAGTTTGGTTAAGCCTTCTTGAGAATCAGTCAGATTGTTCGTTACTCTTGAAGAGTGTTAGTAGGCTATATCTCCTGGTTCTAAGTCCTTGAACGACATTCTTCTAGCTTGAATTTAGTTCACTTTTTATTTATTTCAAATTTGATTCACTTTAAATCAAAAAAAAAACACAAAAGTAAGCATTCTTCTATATAAATTGCGCTATTCTTCTAGGTTTTCCAAGTTGATTTAATTTAATCAACGTCTCTGCTGCCTTTGGCCACCCAAAAATACAAATTTTAGCTATGGCCTTCTTTGAGCAGAAACAGAAAACAAATACCGCCCACACACACTTCCGAAAGTTTTCCGCCGTTGCTGCCGGCGCTGTCACAGTTTAGTGGTCTTCGATGTGACGTTGGCGGAAGATGTCGGGTCACATCAATCAGCGGCCAAAATCTAAATGGAATTTCTGATTAAAGTTGAAATTAATTACCGCTCATTTAATTAAGGCGAGTTTCAGCGTGGCGACTGTGGCCAGGGATCAGAGAAAGAGAGAGAGAGAAAGAGAGAGCGAAAGCGCCGACATCAAAGCTCCTGCACTTCCCTGGCTGGCTGCCATCCTGAATGGGCTTAAACTAATGACCAAGTAAACAGCGAGCAGACAGTAACCAGACAACGGGCATCGGCTCCATCAGTCATGCGGATCAGCCGGCAATGGAGAGGGACTCTGGGGAGTAGCTGGCCAACTGTTGGCTAAATTGAAGTGCACTAGTCTTGACCCATTTCGAACCGTCTAGCTGCAACTGTCAGTCAGGCCATCGAATTTAATATGGCAAGTAATATTTCTGGTTAGCCATTAGGGCGGAAACTTTGCCCAAAACTTGGCAGCCTTCCGACTGATGCATGATGTGCAGACATTTTTGAGTGCCCTTTACTATTTGATAAGCTGGGATCCTGACCTTGCCCAGGGCGTCCGGCCAAATCGATATGTCCTGTGGCCATGCTCCTCCTCAAGGGTCACAGACACTCTTTTTTAGGAAATATCTTTCATAGTCTGCCTGGCAGGGAGACAACAAAAGACAAGCTGAACACTTGCACTGCCGCCGACCATTTACAATTGTCAAATGCTGCTGTCATATGTTGCAATTTGTTTACACCACTCAGGGGCTGAATGCTGCTGAGCGGAGGGAAAGCGGCGGAGGCAGCAGCATTGCGAAATGTATCTTACGGATGCGTGCTGGTATCTGCAAGAGTTTAGGGCGCCTTAAGACTTGAGAGAGTTCCTCGGAAACAAGTAGTCAAGCGGATTAAGGAATTGACTTGTAAAAAAGGGTATATTAATTTCAGATTTTCTCAGTTACTTTTGCAGAATCAATTTCCACGAAATCTAAAACCATCTCCTTTGCAAATTTTCAGTTCTCATCTCTCATTATGTCTATATCAGCCCCATCATTCCTAGGGTCTGCCCTGCACCCTCAGATCACCATCACAGGCATCATCAGCCACTAATTCCCACTCAGATTCTGTTTGATTTCCGACTAAAGATCAACACACATCCGCAACCCGTTGAGTCCCCAGCCGAGTGTCAACACTATGGCCTCCCATCTCCTGCTCCTCAGATTATATTTTTCTTTATTTTTTGGTTAACTACATGCGAGTAAGTAGCGCATCGCTGTCGTCATGGCCAGGCGCAATATCTAAGGCGAAAGCCCCAATGAGTTGACAGGGCAGAGCACCATCCAAAAGCAGCCCCATAGCATTCGAATCGGAATCCGAATCCAACGGCACCTGGCATGTCATATCACTGGTGCTTATAGCACTTGCCAGGGGTAGGGCAGCCCAAGGGGGGAGGGACAGATCTCTTGACAGCGCCAATGAGCGAACATTCGAAGCGTTTTACAAGTTTGTTCCCATTTCCCTGCCACCTCAATGGGATGGGATGGCATGGTTTCGGATTGGGATTCGGTTTGGGCTGCCAGCCCCTCAGACGCTCGCTGTATCTTTGTCTGTGTCTGGGCATTTGTGAAATACTATATAGACATATTGGATTTTGCATGTACACGAGTATATGTGCACATATTTTTGAGACAGAATGTCAAAAGTATAAAGAATGTGCTTTTAGGCGACTTTTTGTGCACCCTTTTTGGGGTAACATTAGTTTCTTATAACCCATTGAGTAGATACTCCTAAGTAGCTATACCTATGTCAAACTGGTTGGAAAAATGAACAGAATTATTACAGTCGAGTTTCTAATTACAACAAAAGGGCATCCATACTTCGGTTCGACCTTAAGCTCCCTTCATTGTTGACCATTTCATTTGCATTTCGCGTAAGATGACGTCAAGTGTACTTGGCTAAGAGAGCCTCTTCGGCTGACAGCCGCTTAACATATCAGTTGGAAATTTGAAATTTTTTGGTGCATCCCATTTCGGCCTGCATGCAAAATCTGTTTCAGAATTTATTAAGTGACGATCGGAGCTGGGAGCTCCTTCGATCTCAGTGTCAGCGGGTCTCGGTTCTGCAATTCAAATTGCCATTGTCTGGCCGGTATGTTCCTTGTTCCCTTCGATGTTTCGCCAGTGTCTCTTTGCATACTCCTCATCCTCGGCCTCGTCCTCGTCCTGTGATTGACACGAGATTAGCATACAGCTCAGATCGCTAAGCCAGGTTCAAAGTTAAGCTGAAAACCTTTGGCGTAGGTCGGACACCAGTATCTTTCGAGTCGAAGTTTAATTGCTTTCTGTTTGGCGCGGCGCAAATAGAAATGAAAAAATACGACAAAAAGATACTTGCGGCTTGTCACAAACACTTGTACCGGTCATTTGTCAACGGTCTGGCGTCTGGTCAGGCAAAAAAATACTAAAAAAACAACAACCGAACATCGTCATCGTAATCAGCAACGTGTGCGGCACTCCAAGATCCCGGCACCTGGGCTCCGATGGCGGCGAGGGGCACGATCATCGGGCGGCCTCAGTTTTGATCTTATCATGCAAAAACAACTTTGAACTTGTTGCACTTTTTACAGCGAATTGTAAAGCTTACACAGAGAGAAAAAGCATGACATAATTTGAGTATAAATATGATGAGCTGTTTGTCATGGTGGCTGTTAGAGAACTTCTTGGTATCCCTTTATATAAGATGGTAACAACGATCTAGATTCTAAAAAGTGACTGATATTTCTCCCCGTGCTGATCTGCTGAGTCAGGTTGATGTCCAAGCGAAAACTTCATAAATCAACGCACTTCCGATCATCGCAGCTGGTCGGTGGCTACTTAAGAGACCCTGGCTAATGAGTCGTTTAACCAAAAACCATTATCAATGCCACAATTCCAGGCGCGGGTCATTAGTCATAAGAAGCGAGTCACGAGAGGAATTTTGTCACAAATTGAACTAATTAAAGACAACAAGTGCTCTTGGCCAAGATCGCTTCAATTCAAGGAATTCCGAGCAGTTTTGCGGGGCTCTCTGAAACTCAAATATTCCCTCAAAAAATATGTTTCAAACTCGAACAGTTCCAGAAATAAATCAGACGGAGAGCGAGAGGTGCCACGCTTGAGGACTGCTGGAAGAGATAAATCTTGGACCCTGGGACCGATCGGATCGGATCGGATCGGGGGGTTATATAGAATGCAGATGGAGGAGTCAAAAGGGCCGCCGCGGGGGTCGCCAACGGGACATGTGCAGCGCGCGGGTTAATTTCTTTCGGAAAAAGAAAATTAATCAAATATGCGGCCGCCGCGCGGCTATCTGAGAATGTATCTGGCTCTCTATTCGGCAGGCAGTATCTTTCCCTGTGCGTTGCATTCCTCCCGTGATAAATGATGCTGCCCCGGGTTCTGACCGTGTGTGTTTTTGTTATTTTTGGGGGCAGGCGACAAATGATGTGACATTTGTGATAATGAAAGTGTTGCCATGGCCTCCACCCACGCAGTAACC